CACCCAAAAATGAAGATTTTGTCATCATTTACTCTCCATCATGTCATTCCACACAAAAGATGATAAAGATGACATTCTGAAAAACTGGAAAAGGTGTTCCACAGAAGAAATCCATCCACAGATATGAACGATATGAGGATGAGATGTTTTGTTTTTCCGGAGTTTCACAAGTGTGTTTGTTGACGAGCGTTTAATAAACCAGGCCCAGTTCGACACTGGATTTGCACATCATTTGACACTGAACGATGGAGCGGTCCCAGCTGTAGTTAATCAACACTTGTTTTTCTGCGTATTGATTATTGAAATGCTTTGCCGGCTGGAGTTACAAAAGCTAGACTAAGTAAATGAGAGTTGGTGCAAAACTCTAGAATTCTCATGCTCACTTATGAGGCCTTGAATAATTTGGCTGCTCAATATTTGCCAGAGCTCTTCTGAAGCTGGTCTTTTAACGGTTCAAACACCTCGGCTAAAATCTGTGTGTGTGATCGGGCTTTCTCTTCATTGACTGTGGACCTCCCTGCCCTCTGAGATGAGCAATGCAGAATCCCTTTTGTTTTATTATATTGTCTTTGTATTGTTTGGTTAGTTCTTTACTGCCTGTACTTTTTGTGTGTGTGTTTTAACTTTATAATTTTCATATGCATGTAAAGTGCTTTGAGTTGCTACTTTTAAAGGCGCTACATAAAATAAAGTTTATTATCATTATTATAATATATGTGTATAATATACAATAGATCCCGGTCATGTTCTGGAAACGGCTGTGTTTTGTTGCTCGTCACTCTTCAGCCTCCAGGAGCTCCGCTGTTTCCGGAGAGAATCATAAAGCTGTATTTCTTTTATAAATCTGATCAAACTAAAGAGTCTCTGGAGATGTGAAGGATGCAGTGCTACTCTATAGGTACTCAAGATTAACATGAGATCGGGTGAATCTGTGTGTGCTATGTCCTCTTTAATAGTTATTTGAAAGCAGTAATAAAATCCTTTTGATATTCATAGTCATAAATACTCTATATATGGGTCAAATCTATTCCAAAGCATACTATTTGATAATATGTGTCCCTGCAGCACAAAAGCAGTGTATCTCGGCCAAATATTGTCCTATCCTAACAAACCACATATCAATGGAAAGATTATTTATTCAGCTCTCAGATGATGTATACATCTCAATTTCAAGAAACTGACCCTATGACTGGTTTTGTGCGCCAGGGTCACATATACCTGTATTTTCAGTCATCTACAAAGGTAAGTATTGTTTGAAAGCAGCGTTTCTCATCAGTCGCTCGAGCTGGCTTTACCGGGTTTGGCTTTGGGCTGTCTTCTGAAGAGACTGACTGTGCCGAGGTCTCCGATATCAGCAGACTGCTTCTGAATGGACACCTGGAGAAACACACACACACACGGTTCATCTGGTGAAAACAACACGTGATGCCTGCGCTCACAGGCGAGTTATAGATAACTGAATGTTACCTTAATATATGCCGACCCCTCCAGGTCGCTGGGGATCTGCACGTTGAGCGGACAGTAATTGTCAGGGACTTTCTTATCCAGGTCGATGTCTGTGTTCTTGATGACCTCAAACGTGCCGTGATGGGGGAACAGAGACCCTGCAGAGCAACAGCGCATGTTAACATAGACACTTCATAGACATCAGAGAGGTCAGCACACTGATGAGAGCACTGCATTACCGGCACTGCGGTAGCTCAGATCGCCCAGGATCTTGTGCCCGACCTTGCGCAGCTTCCACTGTGAGCGCAGACGCAGCAGCTCCGAGTTGAAGTCCCGCTGTCTGCGCTGCTCCTGGTTCTCCGCCAGAGACTTGGTGAGTTTCTCGGCTCCTTTCAGCAGCAGCTGGGCCGCCGTGGCCAGAGACTTCTTCTTGCTGATCAGCTGGAACACCTGCGGGGTCTAAACACTAGCGCTGTCAAAACGGCTGAAAACTACATACGAACGTTGTACTTAAATATTATCAACATTTAAATTATATTAAAATTTAAAACAGAGTTCCGGTGCTTGATTCTGATTGGCTGAGCTGCGTTCGAAGCTGTTGTAAATGACTCTACAAAGTAACATACACCTTTGTTTACGTCTGTGTGTTGCTCGGCAACCACTTTGTTGCAACCACAACTGTTTCTGAGGAGCTACATTGTTTGGTGGAAGAATACTGTTTTTATTAATATTATTACACTTTATTTGCTCTGTTTTATTTTGTGAATAAAACTCAGCTTCGCGTGGTGCCTAACAACGCAGTGCACGCATACATTACGTGATGAAGTCTAGTGAGTTAGACCAGTGTGTGTTCTTTCACTGCGTGATTCAGTCTGTTACAATGCATTTAGAATGATCACAAAATTCAAGATATGGGGGCAGAACATGTATATATTTATATAATTTCATATAGTTAATTTCGCACGAAGAGTACCCTTTTTTTCTTCAATAAGTTAATATTAAGAGACTTACATTTTAGACACTATATTGCCTGTTTTTGCTCTATTTGACCAACAAAAATAATTCCCAACACAGACGGTGTTTCGTTTCTGAATGAATCAACTGTTTAAATGATTCGGTTCAATCGCAATGACTGACTTATTAACAGTGACTTGCTTGTTTTAATTTCACATTTAAAGCAATTTTTCATTTTTTAATTAATCAGTATTCAATGTTTAATGTTAAAATATCAAAACATTATCTATGCATTTGTAACCGCAGGTTAAAACACTCTATGTCCCTCTGAGCTGCATTAAACAGTGTGTAAATACATCTAAATGCCACTTTACATGCAACTTCTGCAAAGATTAATTTAGTTGATACTGATTTCATTTGTTTTGCAACAGCCCAAATGTCAGATTATTCTAATATCTAATAATATCAGTTTGAAGGTCTTTTAATAGAGAATGTAAAAATGTGCGACTCATTTTGCCAGCACAGGTCACATATAGTCTAATTATCGTTATAGAAAAAATCTCAGAAAATATCAAGATGTCATTTTTTGTCAATATGGCACACCCTAGTGACGAGGAGAGCGCCGCACCTTGGTCACGCTGGGGTCCTGGGACACGGGGTCGAGCGCCATGTACTTCTTGTCCTTGAGCACGCTGAGCACGTCGTGCAGCACACACATCTCGGTGAGAGCGCTGCGCAGGTTGTTCCTCACCGAGTCCCACGGCCAGAGCGAGGGCTGGAACTTCAGCGCACCTGTCAGCAGAGAGCAGCGCTTGAGTCACGAGCAGGCAGCAGCCCCGCAGTAAAACACCCCCCACACACCCTCGTCCTCCTCCGGCTCCGGCTGGCTCCACGGCTCCCGGCTCTCCTGCTCCGAGTCCGAGCTCTGGTCGAAGTCGATCCGCTGCGCCAGCTTGGCCAGGTTCTGAGACATGGAGAGCGGAGGCACGTACGTCTCCAGACCGTCCAGAGACACCTCCTGCACTTGACGCTCACACTGAGACTCCATGCTGACGCGCACCGCCGGACCTCCAGACATCATGCTGACCGCTGAAGCTCTGCACACACACAGAGACAGATCACACACTGAGACACACACACACACAGAGACAGATCACACACTGAGAGACACAC